TATTAAATTAAGGATATTGGATTTGGCACAAGTTGGCATCACAAGCAGCGAGCTGCGGTATCTGCTTTCTGAATTCCTCAAAGCAGTTGGACAGGCAGTTGGTGCAGGTGTCAAAGCAGGTGATTCTTTGCTGCTCTTGGTTGCCGTTTGGAAACATTCTGTTGCACTTTGTGGTGCAGTCTGCGAATAGCACCGGCGTTGGAGCAGGTGGATTGGCTGTAGTGACTTGCGGGACAGGATCGGCTGGTTGGGTCTGGGCAGCAGCGAGAGTGAAGAGGATAGAATAGAGTTGCATCTGGTAGTTGATACTCGCTCAAAGATTTGCACTGTTTTATACTCGAGAGACTTCGCCACCAATGTTGAAATTGATGGCAAATCAATGAGGTAATTTCATAGCCACGAAACATGCCAAGATCGCACTGCCTGCAGAGTATAAAACAGCGCAAATCTTTGAGCGAGTATCAACTACCAGATGCAATGTCCTTAATATAACTAATTTAATCTACTATTATAAATATCCAACAACTATCTGGATACTAAGATTTCTTACATAGTGATCCTTTACAAGATTCACGCTTTATTGGATTTATCATGCAACAGTCTGATCTAATAGAGGTATAACTACCATCTTTTAAATTAGAGTTGTTTAAGCGAAATCAAGAATTGTATGCTTGAGAAAATAGTATGATTCTCTATAAAGTATATATTGAGTAGCTCAATAGTTTCTCGAACAACTAGTCAACAATCCAATTTTTGCTATTGTTGATTTACTTTATAAGCACTCCTATTTCCTGGTGATTCAGGTTCCGTAGTGAAGAGGTTATCACATCAGACTCTGAATCTGGGATCACGAGTTCGAATCTCGTCGGGACCTGCTTTTTTACATTTTTTTGATTGAAAAATAAACTTGAAGCAATTATACAAATGGATTGGCAGTGTAATTATTGCATACTGCCATTTGCCTGCTAGATATAAAGATAAAAACAAACACGCAATTCTGATGATATCAAACACACGTTAGTAAAATGGGAATTTAAAGGAAATAATAGCTTAAAATAGTCATTTATTAATTTTTTTGATTTAACCTACTTGAACTTGCGACTGGTGATAAAACTCTTTTCTTTCCACTAGAATTTGGCTGGTATTTGCCTGAACAACCTGCAAGAACAATTGGATCGGTGTAGTAATCTTCTGTAGATGATCCACAACTGATATTTCTTGGTTCTGCTTTCAATATATATTCTGTTGAAGATGCCATTCTAAAATTTACAACAAACAAATACGCGTTGTAAAGTCCGCCACTTTGGCGTATTCCTTATATTACTAGTTATATATAAATGATGGATTCATAATTAATATAAATTCGCTTGTATGGCGAGTGGCAAATTTCTCCTCTTGCTTTGGAAATCTCACCATGAGCACAAAGCTGATGAAATCAAATCCCCTCGCTATGAGGCTGGAAGCAGTAAAAAACCTTACAGTGGATAATGATACTCTCGAAGCCTTAAAAATCACCCCCACTACAAAACCAAGACAGACAGTTGAACATTTGCTAATCCAACAACACGAAATATTCCTCAATTCATTCGAAAAAGTAACTTCAATTAATGAAAGGTGTTCGTGGAGATGAATGAAATGGAAAAATCAATCAAAGAAATGGACGCTGATTTGTCATTCATTAAATCGACTTTGGAACAAGCCAAGGAAAAAACCACCAAAGTTGTAGATATCACCAACGAATTAAAGGAGGCTTCGAGCGACACTCTCCTTAAGCAGTCCATAATCAAAGAATTTTTGGAGATCTTTACCATAACTAAACGAACAGAGATCAATCAGGAATTTTTTGAGAACCTGAAACGATTGCAACAAATCAATGTTCATTCACAAGCATTACTGATTGGAAATCAAAACATTGGAATGGAGATACTGACTAATCTCAATACAGTGCAGGAGGAACAATATGAAATGCTATTTAAATGGACACAATTACAATGCCGAACATTAAAGCAAGAACAGCCAGAAATATCAAGCGAATTTACTGAAGCGATGAGAGCATTCAGATTCAGACCAATTTTATTTGATGCATGTATAGATGAAATATCGTCAATTAGACAAAGCGCTTTAGTAAGGGCTTTTCAAAATGCACTGTCTGTTGGAACTCAGTATTCAAAGCCGATTGAATATTATGCGCATGATCCTACTAGATATGTGGGTGATATTCTTGCCTGGATTCATCAAGCGTGTATTGCCGAATACGAAATGCTTTCCTCAGTCTTTGGTATTGTAGGAAACAGCCAGAGACAAGCAGTTGAACTTCCGCAAGTTTTCGAACAAGTCGAAGGATATCAAACCTCACGAGAGCAGGTTTTGTCAGTTTTAGACAAAAATACAGAAGGTTTGGCACCAATGTTGAATGTAACTGCAATTAATCTTAGAAACGTATTGACGCTATGATAACAGTGTTGCTAGGAAGTATTCAAATATACAAGATTCAAAATACAATTCAATTTTACCATCAAACGTTATCCAAAATTCTAGATCCAAAGTCGACTCTTCTTACTTCACTTGAAAGGTAATCTTGACTAATGCAGATCAAGTAATAACGCGCTGGTAGTATTCAAGAATAGTTTGGAAACTCAAAAAGGAGATTTAACAAGAACGACAATTGAGCCTTCTGAAAGCTTAGATCCACCACCAACTGTAAAAGAAACAATGTCGCAAATTAAAGAAATATTTACCAGTCTCGAAATGAATATGGTTTCATCAAACGAAAGTATTCTAGCTGATGTCAAAGAGCAATTGCTATATCCTTTAATTACAAACTGTGAATCACCAAATGATTTAACACCATTAGATCAAGCAATTTTCAAAGTCAATATATACCACTACATCAACAATGTACTTACTTTATTTGGATTCTGCGAAGAGTTGATCAATGAAATCAATACAAAAACCAGCCATCAAGTGACTCTTCTAGTGCATGAACAAGTAAAATACACTAATATAGCTGAATACAATGTTGGATAAAAGTGGGCTGTTGGAGCTAATTGTCAAAATGAAAAGCTCTGAAAAGCCATATTCGTTGGTTCCTGAACTTTCGACTTCTGTGATAAGTACAAAGTTGGCGAAATTAGACAATTATTTGGTAAATGTGACAATGGACGTCAGCGAGACTCTTTACAGAATCAAATCGCTGGATATCGCAAAGGAATGCGTCAAAAAAGGATGCATCCAATTTGTAAAAGAGTATTCGTGGCTAGTAAGCGAAATACTAGATCCAGCAAACAAGTACGAATTCCCAAACAGTTTAATAAGAAGAAACGTCAAGGAAGTAGAGACTTTATTGTCGTTAGATTAATCAATTTCAATAAACTCTTGAATTTTCTTTATCCTCTGAGTGGCAAGTTTCAATGTCCTGGTTATCAATATAGCATCGCTTTTTCTCAAAGGATTCTTTGCCTTTAGTTTTTCCTTTAGTTTCTTGTTTTCAATCCTAATCTCATCTACTGGAGCGTTTCCTATACCCTTATCCACCAGCATCTTCAACTCTACATGCTGATTTAAGTTGCAAGTACCTCTTGAACCAATTCCTTCATTCCTTCCGGTGTTAGTTTGTCCAAGTTTTGCTGTAGGTAGTATATACGCATCTTTAATCCAAAATTTTCCTTTTTCAGTTCATTAATCAACTGTTGTTAGTTTTGTGTACTCTTTCCCTTTGATTTTCGCATAAATCAGATTCGTTATCGTTCATTGATGTTGTCTGAGCGTGATCTTGTAAACAAAAAAAGAGTGGGGTTTTAAAATGATATTTCAATCAGAATAACAATTACACAGTTTATTATGCCCAAGATTCTTCGACTGTTTCCTTGACTCTTTTGTTGTACTCTTTGCGACTGTCTGAAAACATTCTTGCAGCTTCCGCATTGGCTGGCGAGTTTGGATTCGGATCATGCAACAGCGATTGGATAGAAGTCAAAATGGCTGCAACATCGTATGTTGGCGACCACCTATTCTGTAGGATATCCAGACATAAATCTCCATTAGCATATACATTAGGACTGGGTTAGCAGGATATTACTGAAACATTCTTGAGATAAATTTCACATGAGGTGGTTTAGTTGGATATTCTTCATCAAATGTAAGAACCAATTTAAATGTCTATTGTAAGGTACAACTTACGCCATCTTCAAATGGTGTATCCACTGGCCCAAATATAACCGCATTCCATATAAGAACATTATCCGGACATGGTGCTCCACTTATTCCCTCTGGCGCATCCGTTTGTAACCGCTTAAAGTCTCTCATAAGTCTTCTTTTTGCTGTTGTTGACATTTTGCTGATCAGTAAATTGAAGGTAAAAAATTGTTGTTTCAAAAAGCGACCAGTAAAGTTTAAATTATTTATTTGACTACTAATGGCTGCTATGAATGTAGGCGGATGAATTTACCAAGATTCTTCGACTGTTTCCTTGACTCTTTTGTTGTACTCTTTGCGGCTGTCTGAAAACATTCTTGCAGCTTCCGCATTGGCTGGCGAGTTTGGATTCGGATCATGCAACAGCGATTGGATAGAAGTCAAGATGGCTGCAACATCGTATGTTGGTGACCATCTATTCTGTAGGATATCCAGACATAAATCTCCATTAGCATATACATTAGGACTGGGTTAGCAGGATATTACTGAAACATTCTTGAGATAAATTTCACTTTAGGCGGTTTGGAAGGATATTCCTCATCAAATGTAAGAATAAGTTTAAACATCTATTTCAGATACTTGTTACCCCGCTTTCGAATGGTGTATCAACCGGCCCAAAAATAACCGCATTCCATACTAAGAGGTTATCCGAACTTGGTGCTCCTGTTATTCCTTCTGGTGCATCCGTAAGTAACCGCCTGTAGTCTCTAATTAATCTTTTCTTTGCTGTGGATGACATTTTATGAGTCAAAAGAAATACTTGCAAGACAGCATAATGGGGGGTTTCAAAGTTGAACAAATTTAAAAATGTAAAGAAATATGTTATTGTAAAACCCAAAATCATTCACTTCAGTTTTTAACGAATTTAAATGGGGACTGTAATAATGGGTAATCTACCAATGTTAATGATGTTATTTGATAGGACATTTAAGCTGCCAAGTGATTGTATTGGATGGTTAAATGGACGATTGGCAAACTTAACCCTAACTCAAGTTAATTACTTTGGGGGTCAAACAAACCTAACCCCAGTCCAGTTTCACTCTTAGTTTAAGTTCTCCTGATATTCTGTCCATAAAAGAAAAAGACACAGGCTGGGTTACACTTAATACATGTAATATGGTTGAAAATTTTAAATTTAATTTATGATGTTTTGTGAAAAGGCTCGCTTCACGTCGACTCAATTTAAAACGTCGACTCAATTTCGTAAAAAGCGCCGCTTGCTGGGTTCTAAAAACCTTCAGTGTTTATTAGCAAGTTGAAAAATTAATAAGTACCTGATCTGCGCAAGATGTCAAATCCCTGACTTCTTCTGGATTGAAAACCGATACCAATCGATTCAAAGAACTAGTAATGATCTTTCTGATATAGCGTCTACAATTGCTGTTCCTACCGATAATCCCGGGGGAAATGTCGCCTGAAGGGTTCTGCCCTCTGCTGCCCTTTGCCCAATCCCAATTATGGGTGGGATTATGGGTGGGATTTAAAGGATACATGTCAGCAATTTTTTGTTGTACATTTTTAAATTTGTTCAACTTTGAAACCCCCCAATGTACACGGAATAAAATGTTTGATATTAATTTTGGATTATCGATTTAACTATTCTGCTATTTCATCAGATTGAACGAATGTTTTATTGGTTTTTGCCTTCATATTTTTCTTTAGCAACTTGCCTTAGGGTAG